TTTGCTATGAGACTTGAACTTGAGCTCAGGTGCATCCTGTTTCCATTGATCCTCCTTGATATGTTTCCACAACTTGATTGGACTTCACCTGTGGTAAATTTAATTGATTGGACATGATTTGGAAAGGCACACACCTGTCTATATAAAAGGTCCCACAGTTGACAGTGCAACTGCGCTGTAGTAGTGCAAGCGCTGGTAGAGCACGGCGCTTGTAACGCCAGGGTAGTGGGTTCGATCCCCGGGACCACCCATACACAAAAATGTATGCACACATGACTGTAAGTCGCTTTGGATAAAAGCGTCTGCTAAATGGCATATTATTATTATTATTATTATGTCAGAGCAAAAACCAAGCCATTTCGTGGAAGGAATTGTCCATAGAGCTCCGATACAGGATTGTGTCGAGGCACAGATCTGGGAAAGGGTACCAAAACATGTCTGCTGCATTGAAGGTCCCCAAGAACACAGTGGCTTCCATCATTCTTAAATGGAAGAAGTTTGGAACCACCAAGACTTTTCCTAGAGCTGGCCGCCTGGCCAAAACTGAGCAATCAGGGGAGAAGGGCCTTAGTCAGGTAGTTGACAGAGAACCCGATGGTCACTCTGACAGAGCTCCAGAGTTCCTCTGTGGAGATGGGAGAACCTTCCAGAAAGACCACCATCTCTGCAGCACTCCACCAATCAGGCATTTAAGGTATGGTGGCCAGACGGAAGCCACTCCTCAGTAAAAGGCACATGAAAGCAAGATTATATGATCTGACGAAACCAAGATTTAACTATTTGACCTGAATACGAATCATCACGTCTGGAGGAAACCTGGCACCATCCCTACGGTGAAGCATGGTGGTGGCAGCATCATGCTGTGGGGATGGTTTTCAGCGGCAGGGACTGGGAGACTAGTCAGGATCAAGGGAGAGATTAACGGAGCAAAGTACAGAAAGATCCTTGATGAAAACCTGCTCAGGACCTCAGACTGGAGAATGGCAGGAGTAGCTTCGGGAAAAATCTCTGAATGTTCTTGAGTGGCCCAGCCTGAGCCCGGACTTAAACCCTATCGAATATCTCTGGAGAGGCCTAAAAATAGCTGTGCAGTGACGCTCCCCATCCAACCTGACAGAGCTTGAGAGGATCTAAAATGAATGGGAGAAACTCTCCAAATACAGGTGTGCCAAGCTTGTAGCGTCATACCCAAGAAGACTCTAGGCTGTAATCGCTGCCAAAGGTGCTTCAACAAAGTACTGAGTAAAGGGTCTGAATACTTATGTAAATGTCATATTTCGTTTTTTTTAATTTTATAAATTTGCTAAAAATTGAAAAAACCTGGTTTTGCTTTGTCATTATGGGATATTGTGTGTAGATTGACAAGGGGGGAAAAACAATTTAATTCATTGTAGAATAAGGCTGTAACGTAACAGAATGTGGAAAAGGTCAAGGGGTCTGAATACTTCGCGAATGCACTAATATCTGAGTTCATGCTTTCTTCCATTCCTGTGAGTCATTAAGTCAAGGAGTTGATCTGCCTCTGGTTGCTTTAACTTTATCAGTAGTACAGTGTTAAACACTTGTTATTGTGGAGATTATTTACAGTGCCTTGCAACAGTATTCATCCCCCTTGGCGTTTTTCCTATTTTGTTGCATTACAACCTGTAATTTAAATTGATTTGGATTTCATGTAATGGACTTGCACGAAATAGTCCAAATTGGTGTAGTGGAATGAAAAAAATGACTTGTTTAAAAAAATTATTTAAAACAATAACTGGAAAGTCGTGCGTGCATATGTATTCACCACCTTTGCTATGAAGCCCCTAAATAAGATCTGGTGCAACCAGTTACCTTTAGAAGTCACATAATTAGTTAGATTGCACACAGGTGGACTTTATTTAAGTGTCACGTGATCTGTCACATGATCTCAGTGTATATATTATATATTTATATATATATATAGATATAGATTAACAACAGCCCTGACAATTTATTTTCCCTCAGTACCTCCTGCTCCGGACCAGCTAACTGTTGACACCACGTCAGGTACTGTTAGCTGGAACCAGCCACCAGGATTGGACCAAACCCAACATCATTACCAGATCTCCTACCACTGTCCAGGGACAAAACCCAACTACACTACCACATCTTCACACAGCCTCACTCTCTCTGACCTGCAATGTGGGACTCAGTACTCTGTCACTGTCTGCACTGTGCTGGAAAATGGAAAGAAAAGTCAACTGGTGTCAACAACCCTCACCAAAGGTAACGAAGTACCCAACTTAATTATTATATCTAGTGTCAAAGTTGATTAAACATTAACTAGTTATCAAAATGACTCTAAACTAATCATAATGGATGTGTCAGCATTGGATGTAAAGGTACAGTATCTTCCCTGATGAGAAATATATGATGGTGAATTCCCCAGATCTCATAATGCAGTTTGGTGCCGAAATCATTAACAGTTTTTATAGTATCTGAATTCTTGCTCGCTTCCCATTAATGTGAGTCAATATATCAAGTAGTTGATCTGCCTCTGCTTGCTTTAACTTTATCAGTACTAGTGTAAAACACTTCTTATTGTGGAGAGTATTTATAATCACAGCATTCTTTATATTGAAAGAAATTGGTGTGGTGGTGACAATGTAGCAGCACCGTTGCTAAATGAATACAGCAGAAACCCCTAATTTTTGTTACTTTACAAATCTAACCTGTTGTGTGACTTCTATTGTTTTTAAAATGTATTTATTTCCATATCAAAAGGAATTGCACGCCGGCCATTTCTACTTTTCCTCCTGTAATTTATTTCTGGAGTTAAACTATAGCCCTGACAATAATGTATTTTCCCTTAGTACCCCCTGCTCCAGACCAGCTGACTGTTAACTCAGTAGACACCACATCAGGTACTGTTAGCTGGAGCCAGCCACCAGGACTGGACCAAACCCAACATCATTACCAGATCTCCTACAGCTGTCCAGGGACAGAACCACACATCACTACCACATCTTCACACAGCATCACTCTCTCTGACCTGCAAGGTGGTACTCAGTACTCTGTCACTGTCTGCACTGTGCTGGAAAATGGAAGGCAAAGTAAACTGGTGTCAAGGACCCTCACCACAGGTAAGGAAGTACTCTACTAAAGTATTATGTCTGGTGTCAAAGTTTATTTATTTTTAACTAGTTATCAAAATGACTGAACTAATCATAATGGATTTGTCAGCATTGGATGTAAAGGTACATTATCTTTTCTACTTTGACTAATATTCTACTTTTCCTCCTGTTCAAGATGATAGAAATCCTCATCATTTGAGCGTAATTATTTCTCTATAGCCTTTACTTTCTCACTCTGAACGCGAATGGGATGGGTGCGGCTTCTTGACAATGATCGCAAAGGCTCCAATGCACAGCGCCCCTGGAGCAATTAGGATTAAGTGCCTTGCTAAAGGGCACTGCAACATATTTTTCACCTTGTCTGCTCCGGTATTCGAACCAGCAACCTTTCGGTTACAGGCCCAACACTGTAACCTCAAGGCTACCTGCCTTTACCTTACCCCTATCTACAGTGTCCTCCGTTAATATTGAGGCTACCTGCCTCTACCTTACCCCTACCTACAGTGTCCTCCGTTAATATTGAGGCTACCTGCCTCTACCTTACCCCTACCTACAGTGTCCTCCGTTAATATTGAGTCTACCTGCCCCCTACCTACAGTGTCCTCCGTTAATATTGAGGCTACCTGCCTCTACCTTACCCCTACCTACAGTGTCCTCTGTTAATATGGAGGCTACCTGCCTCTACCTTACCCCTACCTACAGTGTCCTCTGTTAATATGGAGGCTACCTGCCTCTACCTTACCCCTACCTACAGTGTCCTCTGTTAATATTGAGGCTACCTGCCTCTACCTTACCCCTACCTACAGTGTCCTCCATTAATATTGAGGCTACCTGCCTCTACCTTACCCCTACCTACAGTGTCCTCTGTTAATATGGAGGCTACCTGCCTCTACCTTACCCCTATCTACAGTGTCCTCCGTTAATATTGAGGCTACCTGCCTCTACCTTACCCCTACCTACAGTGTCCTCCGTTAATATGGAGGCTACCTGCCTCTACCTTACCCCTATCTATAGTGTCCTCCGTTAATATTGAGGCTACCTTACCCCTACCTACAGTGTCCTCCGTTAATATTGAGGCCCTTCTGCCTTTACCTTACCCCTATCTACAGTGTCCTCCGTTAATATTGAGGCTACCTGCCTCTACCTTACCCCTATCTACAGTGTCCTCTGTTAATATTGAGGCCACCTGTCTCTACCTTACCCCCATCTACAGTGTCCTCGGTAGTTATTGGGACAGTGCAGCATTTCTTCTTATGGCTCTATACTCCAAAAGTTTGGATTTGAAATCATGACTATGAGGTTAAAGTGCAGACAGTCAGCTTTGATTTGATGGTATTTTCATCCATATCGGGTGAACCATTTAGAAATAACATCATGTGTGATAAAGTAGTTAAAAGTTTAGTATTCTCAGAATATCAGGCGCGGGCTGAAAATCGTCATCTTCACATTGCATTTTTTTTTAGGGGGCAGGAGAATTAAAAATTATGATTAAAGCGCTTAAAGTATCCTTGTTATTTAAGCGCTTTAATCATAATTTTTACATTGCAAACAGTAACAATCATTTTTCATGCTACGAAAGGTAGCGGATCCGGCCAAATAGGTTCTGTAACGCATCAGTCCAAAATGGAGAGGTGCCGGATCCTGTTACCGCAGGATCCAGCTCAAATAAAGCACTGATGATACAAGTAAAACACATTAACACATTACCAAAGATCTTACTTTAATAATTTGTGATTCAGTACAGTGGTGGGAGAGACCCTCTGGAGTTGCTGCAGTGTGTGTTCTACTGGCTGTGATCATAGGCCTGTGTGTTTCCTGTAAGTGTTTTTTTTTTTTTTTACTAAAACATTTGTAGTCAATGTTGTGACAGTTACACATTTTGATTGACTTTTCCCTTTTACAGATGCCACTGTAGAGCGAGACCAGCTACAGAATAGTCTAAATACCAGGACCACCGAGAGAGACCAGCTACAAAATAGTCTACATTTCAGGACCACAGAGAGAGACCAGCTACAGAATATTCTAAATACCAGGACCACAGAGAGAGACCAGCTACAGAATATTCTAAATACCAGGACCACAGAGAGAGATCAGCTACAGAATAGTCTAAATACCAGGACCACTGAGAGAGACCAGTTAAAAACCAGGCTTGGGTCCTATGGTGAGTGCAGTCTTTTATTTTCTTAATTTACAAGTATCATTTTATTTCATACTTATAAGAGATGTAATTTATTTGTAGACTTTGAAATGCCTGCTGTTCTATTTCATTTATTTCAGAGAAACCCTGTCTGAATGAATGGTGGAAGTTTGGCACCAGCTGTTATTATGTCTCCTCCACGAGGGACTCTGCCGGGGACGGTCAGCAGCAGTGCAGAGCAATGGGTGGAGAGTTGGTTGTTATAAACAGCAGAGAAGAACAGGTATAAGAGAATACATTAGTAATGCTATAATACTACTGTTTCTTTATTATTATTATTATTATTATTATAATTATTAATCATTATCTACATCTCTGATTAGTATTCAATATGTAAATAATTGTATCACCAATGTTCATGTCACTGTCAATTTATAGAATATACTTCCTGCCAGCAAAGCAAGTTTGCATGAGATTATATCTATACCTATACTATAGTACAGTGGGGAAAAAAAGTATTTAGTCAGCCACCAATTGTGCATGTTCTCCCACTTAAGAAGATGAGAGAGGCCTGTAATTTTCATCATAGGTACACGTCAACTATGACAGACAAATTGAGGAAAAAAAATCCAGAAAATCACATTATAGGATTTTTAATGAATTTATTTGCAAATTATGGTGGAAAATAAGTATTTGGTCACCTACAAACAAGCAAGATTTCTGGCTCTCACAGACCTGTAACTTCTTCTTTAAGAGGCTCCTCTGTCCTCCACTCGTTACCTGTATTAATGGCACCTGTTTGAACTTGTTATCAGTATAAAAGACACCTGTCCACAACCTCAAACAGTCACACTCCAAACTCCACTATGGCCAAGACCAACGAGCTGTCAAAGGACACCAGAAACAAAATTGTAGACCTGCACCAGGCTGGGAAGACTGAATCTGAAATAGGTAAGCAGCTTGGTTTGAAGAAATCAACTGTGGGAGCAATTATTAGGAAATGGAAGACATACAAGACCACTGATAATCTCCCTCGATCTGGGGCTCCACGCAAGATCTCACCCCGTGGGGTCAAAATGATCACAAGAACGGTGAGCAAAAATCCCAGAACCACACGGGGGGACCTAGTGAATGACCTGCAGAGAGCTGGGACCAAAGTAACAAAGCCTACCATCAGTAACACACTACGCCGCCAGGGACTCAAATCCTGCAGTGTCAGACGTGTCCCCCTGCTTAAGCCAGTACATGTCCAGGCCCGTCTGAAGTTTGCTAGAGTGCATTTGGATGATCCAGAAGAGGATTGGGAGAATATCATATGGTCAGATGAAACCAAAATATAACTTATGGTAAAAACTCAACTCGTCGTGTTTGGAGGACAAAGAATGCTGAGTTGCATCCAAAGAACACCATACCTACTGTGAAGCATGGGGGTGGAAACATCATGCTTTGGGGCTGTTTTTCTGCAAAGGGACCAGGACGACTGATCCGTGTAAAGGAAAGAATGAATGGGGCCATGTATCGTGAGATTTTGAGTGAAAACCTCCTTCCATCAGCAAGGGCATTGAAGATGAAACGTGGCTGGGTCTTTCAGCATGACAATGATCCCAAACACACCGCCCGGGCAACGAAGGAGTGGCTTCGTAAGAAGCATTTCAAGGTCCCAGAGTGGCCTAGCCAGTCTCCAGATCTCAACCCCATAGAAAATCTTTGGAGGGAGTTGAAAGTCCATGTTGCCCAGCGACAGCCCCAAAACATCACTGCTCTAGAGGAGATCTGCATGGAGGAATGGGCCAAAATACCAGCAACAGTGTGTGAAAACCTTGTGAAGACTTACAGAAAACGTTTGACCTGTGTCATTGCCAACAAAGGGTATATAACAAAGTATTGAGAAACTTTTGTTATTGACCAAATACTTATTTTCCACCATCATTTGCAAATAAATTAATTTAAAATCCTACAATGTGATTTTCTGGATTTTTTTTCTCCTTTTGTCTATCATAGTTGACATGTACCTATGATGAAAATTACAGGCCTCTCTCATCTTTTTAAGTGGGAGAACTTGCACAATTGGTGGCTGACTAAATACTTTTTTTCCCCACTGTATAGCAGCTGAGGCTGCAACCTGATCTCATAGTTTCACTTCGACATTCGACGTAATCTGAATGAAAGTCTATTTTTGACGCATTCATTCCATGTGGTTACAGGGTTAATTCTGTGAGGTTACAGGGTTCAAACAGAAACAACTCAAAGGGTTATGGTTAGGGGTTAACGTTAGGGCAATGGGTTGGGGAAGGCTTCAAACAGAAATGATTAAAAACAACGCTCTGTTTCCATCAAGTACTCTCCCTCTTGCCTGAGCATTGTGAACTGCCGTGGTGCAGTCGTCAGAGCAGATTGGTCTGTGAGGTGTGAGCACGCTTCCCCTCCAATCGTCCTGAGTTTTCACCAGTGCTCGGCAACATTTTTGTATTTTTTTGTGTGCGCTGAGGAAGGCATATATCAAAGTACTTAGGACCTTTTCAAACATCCTAAATCCCCTTGTATTTCTATTGACCAGGCTCAGTACATTATACTACTACTACTACTACTATTAGACTACTACTACTATTATTATTTATAAAAATGTAAAACTGTTTCTCTGCTGTGGAGATTAAATAATGGTCATTGTTTTTCTTCCAAAATGATATTATAGATATTTATCCATGGATTAAAGAAGAATGTCTGGATTGGTGCACATAAAGATTACGGAATCTGGAAGTGGGTTGACGACACAGCATTTAAACCTACGTAAGTGAACAGGTTCTGGAGGACTTTTTTTCTGTTGTAATAAATTACTTTTTACAGTCTGATAATCTTGTCCTCAGCCAGCTGTCTCTCTCACTCTCTGTCGAATGGTAGCAATTGAGCCTGGAGACTAGGTTAACCGTCTGATTCTCTATTTTCTATTGGATGATATTAAACTCTGATTCTCTGTGTTGTTTATAGCTATTGGATGGAAGGGGAACCAAGTAACTTGAATGACGAGGTGACTTGTATTGAGATCTCACAGACGGCATCAGACCCATTGAAGAGTTGGAAGGGTGGAATATGTACTTTAAATTACTGGGTGTGTGAAAAACCATTCACACCGTAGTCTAATTATAATCACTAATGTAAGCCCCTATCTTATGGAGTTGCACTGGTTTTCCCTTTGTTAGGCTTAACGTGTTTCTATGTGTATCTATATTGAAATATGCATTTGATGTCTTTAAAGAGACCAGGGCTATGTGGAGTTTGTCCACCATTCATCAGGCCCAGGGGAGTGGAACTGTGGTCTAGTAGGCTCTAACTGTGGTCTAGTAGGCTCTAACTGTGGTCTAGTAGGCTCTAACTGTGGTTAACTTTTTTTTTAAACTATATTTACAATTTTTACCATTTTAATGTGTGCATATAACAATTGAATAAGATTCTGTTTTCATTTAAGTTTTTACAGTTATCAATCCATTTCAAATGCAGCATTGTTCTGTTTCCTTCCATTCCATTCCATATGTACCATGTGGTACAGAAAAAAAAAAAGAGGACTGAGCACGCCCCCATTCTCATCGACGGGGCTGTAGTGGAACAGGTTGAGAGCTTCAAGTTCCTTGGTGTCCACATCACCAACGAACTATCATGGTCCAAACACACCAAGACAGTCGTGAAGAGGGCACGACAAAGCCTATTCCCCCTCAGGAGACTAAAAAGATTTGGCATGGGTCCTCAGATCCTCAAAAAATTCTACAGCTGCACCATCGAGAGCATCCTGACTGGTTGCATCACCGCCTGGTATGGCAACTGCTTGGCCTCTGACCGCAAGGCACTACAGAGGGTAGTGCGTACGGCCCAGTACATCACTGGGGCAAAGCTCCCTGCCATCCAGGACCTCTATACCAGGCGGTGTCAGAGGAAGGCCCTCAAAATTGTCAAAGACTCCAGTCACCCTAGTCATAGACTGTTCTCTCTGCTACCGCACGGCAAGCGGTACCGGAGTGCCAAGTCTAGGTCCAAAAGACTTCTCAACAGCTTCTACCCCCAAGCCATAAGACTCCTGAACAGCTAATCATGGCTACCCGGACTATTTGCACTGCCCCCCCACCCCATCCCTTTTACGCTGCTGCTACTCTGTTAAGTATTTATGCATAGTCACTTTAACTCTACCCACATGTACATATTACCTCAACTAGCCGGTGCCCCCGCACATTGACTATGCAACGGTACCCCCCTGTATATATAGCCTCCCTACTGTCACTTTATTCTATTGTATATATAGCCTCCCTACTGTCACTTTATTTTTTACTTCTGCTCTTTTTTTCTCAACACTTTTTTGTTGTTGTTTTATTCTTACTTTTTTGTTTAAAATAAATGCACTGTTGGTTAAGGGCTGTAAGTAAGCATTTCACTGTAATGTCTGCACCTGTTGTATTCGGCGCATGTGACCAATAAAATTTGATTTGATTTGATGTATTTCATCAGTAGAATGAACTCTATACTGTGACTAGGT